GCAGTTTATTACTTGGTATATAACAGAAAACCAAACCTAGAAGACAGCAAGCCAAGCTTCTTAACTAAACTCTTATTTATATGTAACTTCAGTTCAGTTATATGCTTTATTTAACTGATCATAAGTTAAAATTTACTTTGTAAGCTGTTGGTAGGTGGTGGCAAATAACAGAAACTGTTAAGGCAAGGCAAGGCAAATGTATTTGTATAGCACAATTCAATACAAAGACAATGCAAAGTGCTTTACATGATTAAAATATAGGAAAATAAAACACAATCAAAGCAAGTAGGAAAAAATGTGGTAACCTAATGGTAATTACCCATCAAAAGTCTCCATTGTTAAATAGTAACATACAATTGTAATAATTACATGCAGGTAATTACTTTGAAATTATATACCTTAATTTTGGGGTAATTAAGAAATACATTTCTTCTTATTACCTAGTAATATAGTGTGACTTGCTATAGTATTACCATGTTATTACATGGTTATTTATGTACTGAAAAAGAAAGCGTTACCCATAATTAAGGATTATATTCTAATAAAGTGATTTAAGCAAAATGGTATAAAGACACTGTTTCCACACTCTACTACTGGTAAAAAGCAGAATAATGTCTAAAAAAAACAAACATGAATATTCAAAGCCTTCTCTGAGCCGAGTTACCCTGCTTACTACTTATGTATTGATCTTGTTGTTTTATTTTGTATTTGCTTAACTTTTACTTTTTTGATACAAAATGCATAAAATGCTGATTTATTCTGGGGAGCAATGTTCACTTTTAAAATATTATAATACCCTTGAAGCTTAAGTTATCTGTGGCTGTTTGACGTTTTTGCGCCTCTGACTCTGGTTCAGAAGGCACTTTTTTATCCTGATTTCCATCTAGTTTTTTTCATAATAATATTTTCCATTTATCTTTATTTCTCATGAAATGTTAGGATCCCAGTTTTTAGGATAGAGGTTGGAATAATAAAAAATCAGTTTGAAAGCTGTTAACAACTTTGCTTAAAAAAGAAAATTGAATCCATGATGACCAAAGCTGCTGATACTCCTGTGACATTTCCTGTGAGTCACACAGCAGTTTTTCTTTCTTTGTTGTTCTTTTTACTTTAATCCAAAATAGACAGACATCAGCACACACCTTAAAACACCTCAAAAGCAGACTCAAAAGACCCCACCTCCCATCCACCCACCCACAGACTGTAGAGTCTGGAATGTAGCGTTTGACAGCATTAAAAGAGGAAGCCTCTTATTTCTATATGCTTTTCAAATCTGAATTAATCATATTTCTTAATGTAAAAATGTCTTTGGGATGGATGAGACCATAATGCATAGCACGTTTTGGGATATACCGGTTCCGGATCCAACACGGCATATCACCACCCTCATCCCATACCATCTGTTACACACGGTGGTAGAAGTATGCTGATGTGGGCTTGTTTTTCATCCACTGGACGTCTTGTAGTCATAGGCTGCGTCCAAACGTCCGCCCTAACTCATAAATCCCTTAATCACCATATAGAGCGAAGACCTAATAGTGGAGTTTATAGTGAGCTCAGTTAACTGAGCATTCGGACAGATGATCACTACTTTTCACTTCCCGTTGGTCACATGACTCTGCCTCCCGGCACGGTACCTCCACCATCTTTGTTATTTGGTGACAGTGGGCCACTATGACAACAAATCCCATAGTGCTTTGCAAGATGAGCTCTACACGCAAAGTATTCCAGGTATTATCTAATCGTCTAGTGACCATGGATGATCACTACTTTTCAAGGTGCACTCTGGGAAAGTCCACAACTTTTTCATCCACTAGACGTGATACTCATCTTAAATGGCGTAACCATTGTATAATGCCCTATACAGCGATTACTGCGGACGTTCGGACACAAACACTGGGTAAACCATGAAATCCTTTAGCAAAGTTTTCCAATGTGTCAGCAACTTTACGACAACTGAAGCTTGGTGCAAACCTTGTCTTCATCAGCACAGATGTCAGACATGACCTGTTAAAAGCCTTGTTTCCCGTTTGTTCCTCATGGAGAAGTGAGCAGAAACACATATCTACAAACCCCAATGAATTAAAGCTGCACCAGAAACAGCAGTGGGTTATAACTCACCAAAAGCAATGACAGAGACTTCAGTAAGTCATTCAATCTTCTGTTATGTTGTTCTCCATGGGTACCAAATTGGACCAAAACTCCTTGGTGCTTAGCTTCTTTCTATCAACCAGTCCAAATGAAGAGAACCCTAAAGGACTAGCTGAAGCTTATCGTCTGCGGATTTTGTTTGTAGATCTTCTCTGGCCTCCTGGTGAACCTTCCCAGCATCGTGGACTGGCTGGCCTGGCTGAAGTACTTCAGTATTCCTCGATACGGCTTTGCAGTAAGTTTTTCCTTCAAACCATGTTTACAGCTGTAATGCTCAGGTTTTCCCAACATCAGACTTAATTTAAAAATCTCTTATGATTTATTGGTTTTAACATCAAATTATGGTCACGTTCAGGCCTTGAAGATCAACGAGTTTGTTGGTTTGAAGTTCTGTCAGGACACCAATACGTCTGCAGTGATGGCCAACAGTGGCGTTAGCTCAGCGGGCCAGATGTGAGTAAATTGTCCACATCCACAGGAATCCTAGTGGATCATACGGTAAATTCTGCTTTTATCTCTCGACTGTGTCCTTTCAGGTGTACAGGAGAACAGTACCTGGACTACCTGGGAATAGAGTCAGGCTCCTGGGGACTGTGGGAGAATCACGTGGCTTTGACCGTCATGATGGTCATATTCCTCCTCATCGCCTACCTGAAGCTCCGCTACATCAGGAAGTTCACCTAAAGTGGATTCTGGGTTTAACTGTAACATATTACCCATGAAAAAATCCCTTCTTGAAACGGTGTGAAATAAATGTGTCCAAATGTAATGTGTCACAGTGAAGGTTAAATTACTAATTTATTGCTGTTTACAGACACCATTGGGTTCAGGTTGGTTCAGGATGGTGCGGTAAAAAAGAGAGGCCTCATTATCTGCTTTCACCTTTTTTCTTTGTTAGTTTTTTTGTTACAGTTAAAAATATATATATCAGACAAAGAAAAAGCATAA